ATTTACCTCTTAAATGTCTTATTTACATCTTATATCATTATGCCTCACAAACCTCAGCAGCATTGCTGAACACCAATAGCACTTGCAAGCAGATGGAACATTTCAGCTCCACATCTTACACACAGTTCTCGTGCAAGTGGGGACTACCTAAAAGGTGCTTTACAAGACAGTTATGGGTGAACAGGTGCTACGTACCACAAATGAGATAACTGGTTACCACCAGAATAGAGGTAAGCCATATGGACTATACATCTGTGGAAATTCAGTCTAAACAGAAAGTGTAAAGGGTAAAGCAGGCATGAGAAGAACTGGTTGGGCATTCGTAATCTCACAGAGCCAACAACATTTTGCTTACGACTGGTTGACCATTCAAGCTTTCCACAGGCAGCACACGGATGGAATTGGATGTCTCAAAGAAAGCTCTCCTCCGAATTTCTTAAAGCAATGATCCACAAATATTCAGTTCCATTAAAATAATATTTGTACAGCATAGAATTCAAGATTTGGTCCCCAGATGGGTGGTAGAGAGCGAAAAGTAACTGCCTTGTAAGACCATGCCTGTGTAAAGATAAGCGAGAAAATAGATAATCTTGCAAGAGAAGCTTCTATATAAAATCTGACATAACTCTACTGGCAGGATACCGACCTTTTTAGCATTAGTAATGGAAAAACAGCTAAAACTAAAGATCTTTGACATTTATAGGGGATAAGACTGTTGGAAAACAAATGTAACAAATCAATACGACAGTATATACCCGGAATACCATTGATAATATGAATAAAGGAAGGTTTCTCTACCTCATACTAGGTAGCCAGCCGCCACAGGAAGGATCAGCACATGTGAATGCATCCCCTGAGATTTTCACCTAGTGCACATCTCAACATTCCATATCGATGCTTTAGTTTCTGACTATTACAATAATTAACAAATCTTATTTTTGTTCTTCAAAAAAAAAATGCTAATCTAAGTACACGATTTTGCTGTAGTATAATTAAATTTGCTTTTTTTATGGATTAATGACCGTATGAAATATCCATTAAAGTGCCAGGTTACAGATTAGAAGTTTCAAAGTTCAAGTTATGATGTGGTTCTGATCATTTTCTGCACTTTCAATTGGTTGTATCATAACTGTGACAGGCAATACTGCTATTTACTTAATAAAAGTTATTTTTTTCCCTCTGGTAAGTAGTGCTAAAATTAAAGATAGGTATGCTTGAACCTCAGGGGTATCTAGCCTGGCCACTATATGTGTGGCGTAAGGTGCTATACACTTTGAAGATAGCACATCAACATCATTAAATCTTCTTAATTAGTTTCGTGCAATAAAGAAGATCAATTGAGACGTACCTGAGCTACCTTAACTTGTATCTACAACTCTGACACACACACACACGCACGCAATTGCGCGAACATAAACATAATGAGTTTTAATTCTTGACACTTGTGTATCATGTTAAAATAATAAATGACACACAACGCTAAAATAGGTACACAATTAAAAACATTTTAATTAAGGTCAGTATACGATCACTAAAATGTTAACTCTACATGTTTCGACGTCGCAACGTCATCTTCAGGAGTGAGTTGCAAGACATAATCTTGTCTTATATATTCTTTTTGTTGTTGTTAAATATGTCATATGACCTATGTACAGGTTTAAAATTCCTGCGTGATATTTTAGAGAATGTCACCCCACGTTTTTGCATCTCTATTTAATAATACATGATTTTTTGTATATTTAATTATTTCTAAAAAATCTCGAAAAATATTGGCTTTCACGCCTTTTGGTTGAACTAATTTTACAGTTTTTTTTCCAGAATGCCTTAATTTGTGTTTCATGTACATGTTCTGCTATGGCTGAATTTGTTTTTTATTTCTTACGTATCCTTTATGCTCCATTAAACGATATTTTAAATTACGTTTAGTCTATCCATTATATATATTTCCAAAGTCACATCCAATTTTATAGATTCCTATATTAATTTATATTATATTATATTAAATTTTGCTTTATCGTATTAATCGGTTTAAACATAGGATAAAATATTTGTTGTTTTCTAAACACTTTAAATAAATTATTAGTTAAACCTGGAATATATGACAAAATTAAAGCTTCCTTTTAATTTTTCGTAACTATGTTTTAAAGAAATACTTTGATCAGTCATTACCACATTAGTGAATTTGTTGACAGCTCTATCTATAATACTCGGGTTAAATTCTCTTTCAACTACTACAAATTTCATTAACAATAACTCATTTGATAGATTGTTTAGGTAGAGTATTCATGATGAAACTTTGTAGAATGGACGGCAACTGCCTGTTGTAGAGACACAAGTGTAGAGGACGACGTTTCGAAAGTCTTCAGCCTTTCGTCTTCAGGTCCATTCTACAAAGTTTCAATAACTCATTTTTTAAGTCTTCTTGTTTAATACAAATCTATAAAATTCTGTGAACATAAGTGTAAAAAAGCAACTAGCTTTTTTTGATCTAGTATGACATTATTCACGGTGTAGAGGCATAAGAACAGAAAAGGGTTTCCGAAAAATAGATGTTTCTAGATTACCTTGTAGCTTTCTGTTTACTAATACAGCTAGGAAAAGCAAGATATTGTGTTTCTCAATTTCATAAGTAAATTATATAGATAGTTCTATTCTATTCAACAAACAACAAAAAACTATATATAGAAGAAAATATTATGTCTTGCAACTCACTCCTGAAGACGAGGTTGCAACGTCGAAACATGTAGAGTAAACTTTTAGTGGTCGTATATTGACCTTAATTAAAATGTTTTTAATGTACCTATTGTGTATTATTTATTATAAACACAATGTTTATTTAATGTTTAACCACATAATGTGACTGATTTTCTTGCAGACGTATTGTAGTACGACAATTCAAATTGTATAGTATCACAAACTTTTATAATTCAAGCTTATAATGGTAATTAATTTTTAAGATGTTGTATTTCAAATTTATATATATTTTACAATAAGCATTCTTTTAAATGATCTTCATAAACTAGTGTCATGAGCATCAACGTAATAAATTGTCTGGTTTTACTGTGAATTTTGTTATATGTTTTACACATCTGTTCTGTAAATACAGTTGATTCAAACATTGTACTAATTTAATCTTGAGTATATTCGTTTCGTATTATTTATTCTCCATGTCACATGGCAGATCAGGAATTAAACCACTGAATCTTGAATACTCAATCAGAATGAATTTACGTACATTATACACATTACACAAAATGGCCTCTTTTGTTTGCAAGAATAGTGAGGTTTGACCGTCACACTTATAACACATTCACAGCCCCAAACGTGGAGAGCAATTATTATTATTACTGATTGCGGTAAAGGGATGCGAAGATTAAAGCCGCAGATCTATATCCATGTAAATTGAACATTAGGCCACGCTATGTTCAGTCAGTTGATAAAATCTTCGACATAATTTTTGCACCAGCATATTAATTTGAATAAAAGATTATCGGTCAGAAACATTCGTGTGTTTGATAAGTCATTAGGAAATGTTGTTCAGCTATAATCACCAAACTTCTGTCAGCTGTCTTTAGTTATAACTCGGGCTTTCTCAAACTGAAAAAAAAGACCATCTATTGATTGTTCTATTTGTCAAAACCTAAAGCTCATTTGCTACTTATCATTCTCAAATTTCTCACCATGTAGTTTATTTGGTCATTTATAATCCTTCATTGCTATTCTCAAGTAAATAGGAAGACTCCCATTTCTCGTTACAAGAACATATGTAATCTATCCTGGTCTTTTATTCAATCTAAAAGAGATTGAACATGTTAACAAAGATCTAAAACGTCACGATATCGCCAATAGCTAAAAAAAAAAAAAAAAGATGACATAATAGAAAATAGCGCACGTAAGTGAAACATACAGATACCGCTGAAAGAATATTCTCTTTCAAATTGTGTAGCGTGTTTTTTGAACTCTTTATAAAGTGATATTTTGATCTTAAAATTCGAAATCTCACCAAAGAAATTAGGATGAAACAAAAAAATTCCCTTTCCATATTTTCATTTTATGAATAATTTTATATTGTCATTAATTACTTTAATTCAACGGTGTTCAGAGATAACCTATACCTTTATTATCTAAATTTATTATAAGATTTATAACCCACCTTCTTAAGAGAACCGGTCGTTGCTTAGTGGTTCAAGTGCCGGAATGTGAGTCTAAGTTTCACACTGATTTCGTTCCGTTATCGAAAATACAAAATAAAAATGTCGCAACTTGGAGTCGTGGTTGCTTTATAAAAATATGGAACAATTCCCATTATTCGATAACAGTATGCCAATAGTTGATAGTGAATTATGTTAACTTGCTGCCTTCAGTTCACAATTAGCGAGGGTTTAAACCCACGAATAGCTTTACGCGAATATCCGAAACGTCAAAATATGAGAAATCTGTGTATAATTATGTTAGGTTTTTGCATCATGTTTGTTTATAATATCATTTTGAAAGAAATGTTTTAATGTTAATGGTTTAAAATATGTGTGTAAATATTAGTGTTAAGAAAATGACGGAGAATTATTTGAACTTACAATGGACGGAAAGCGTAATAAGTGCTGACATGTGTTGACTGATAAGGCTGCTAGTTGCCTCACAGCGGTATATCGCTCTGTTGTCGGAAGCAGTGACTGTAAACTTTAGGTTGTTCACAGTTTTACTTGAACGAGTGGTGTAGGTGGTATCCAGCTGACGATCAAATCTATACCAAATCAGTTGAGGTGGAGGATTTCCACCCTTAGAAGTACAAGATAGGGATAGAGGATATCCTTTCATCAAAATATCACCTTCTCTGTATCCTGTTATAATTGGATTCCCCGGGAGATCTAAGAGTAAGAATAATCAAAATAAATATTTATTGTGTCAAATTTTAATGACTGAGTAGATATGAAATGTATATTTGATGAATCAAACTCAGTTCTATTTTACCTGAAAAATTTTCAAAGAATACAAAATCACCAAAATGAAACTAAATTAAATTCTGTTCCAATACAAAATCACTATATATTATAACTATAATATAGTACAATTAATAATGTTTTGGGCGACAACGCTTATTTTCAGTATTTTCATAGCTTTTAATTACGTTGTCTTACAGTTTTTTGACTATATCTATATTTCAACAACTTCACATTAATCTTATTTCCACTAGTCATGTACACTGGCTGGCTACTTTTTAAGGAACAATGTACCCTTTCGGACTTGAGCTTGACCTGAACTGCAAATGCAAATTAGATTGATCACATGATGTGTCACGTGATCCTTGTAGTTTTGTAAATAACCATGACAAGTATTTTCAATCAGCCTATATGAGTAAAGACAAAGATATTACAGGTTAAAAAGAGGCATCATAGTACGTGCATGTCTAACAGGTGTCACAGTAGAGTACTCCAAAATACCTGTCATTTTACCAACAAGTTGAATAAAATGTCTCTTGCGAGTGTCGGCTGCAAATAAACAAAGAAAAACACATAAACTATATCCTTTAAAGTAAAAGAATATGACTGAACGTGTTCATACAGGGTAAATGTTCTAAACTGAAAAATATATATCTTTTCGTTCACTATCACAATCTTATTTATTACAAATATTATTATTATTCCTATGAAGTTTTCTCTTTTTGATTTTTTAATTAGGATGTGATGCTAAACATTGAAGATATTCAAAGGTTGGTCATTGACGTTAGATAATTTCGCTACTTAACTTTATAGGATATAACATAACACCATATATATATATATATATTTATTTATGAACCTTGGGTCATTGTATTAAAGCTATTACACTTATATCTGCATTACGTAAACTGTGTTTTCCAAAAGGAAAATATATGAACAGTTTGAACTCTTAAAAATATTTTTTCTTTATTTCATTCATTAAAAAAGTCAATATTATTTCACTGAATTGTTTTTAAATAAAACTAAACATATACATCGTTAAAGCACTTCACACTACTTTTATTTAGAAATCAATTTATCAAACGCTTAATTTGACACTTTTTGTAGTCTTAAATGAGTATTGAGCACGTAGAGGAACTTACAAAGGACACTTATGGTAACAGATGACGTCCAAGGATCAGGCAGTGCTGGATGGTCAGCCTCACATATATAAGTTGCTTCATCATCATCCATTTTGGGATACAATATAAGAGTGCTCAGCACCGTCTGGAGTTTTCCTGTTCTTTCACGTGTGAACGTTTTAGCAGCTTCTATGCAATGTAGAAAATCACATGTATTCAGATTTAAGTTAAGTCACTTTATAAGATTTGAAAATATATTCATTGAATAATTCGTATTTTCTATTAATAGTCCATAACATTAACAATCCAATTAAAATTTACATATTTTAGGGTTTTAAAAGTGTTATTTTCTTTTCCTCACTCGACACGCACATACCTTGTTTGTGTTTTATAAAACAAAACACAATTCAAGTATGAAATTCTCTCATTCGGAAGCTGTTTGGATAATTTTTCTTCGAAATTTATTTGTAATGCTTACTTTATTGGTCAGAATAAAGTTGGAAAGAAAAACGACCTTCACACTCCAGATAATTATAAGAGAACTAATATTTTAACCGATGTTTCGCCTTTAAGGCATTTTCACAGCAAGATAGTAACGGTTGCTAAGCTATCTGCGCCCGGTTATAATAAAAGTTATTTTATCATTATCTGGAGTGTAACGGCCATTTTTTTTCTAACTTAATTAGCAAAATGTGTAAATCCCTCCAGTATGCACTACAAATTCTGAAAGACAACAATATTTTTTTATTGGTTTTAATCATATTTTGAACATACAGTATCTTTTTACCAAATTACTATTTCTTCTTGTTCATTAAAGCATCATGATAATGAGTCTGAAATAGTTTATCGTTACAGATTTGGAAAAAGATATGAGAGAAAAAAGTTCCACTAGAAACTGCAATTTGTAATTTACTGGATATCATTCTTATTGTTCTGGGATATAATATTTATGTAATAGCTTTATATTTATATTCTTCTCTGCTGTGTCGATAAAATTTCAATTGTGTGTCGCCAAAACGTAAGCAGAATTTTATATTATCACACATGAAACATACAACGAGGATCAAAACTTTCAGGTTTAGGGAACTTATCATTTTGTATACTTGGATAATTGATCTAATTAATCAAACAGGCAAACGAGTCAACAGTGAAGTTTATTATCTTCCTTATCTTCAATTTTAACAAATATAAGTGCATAATCTTATAACCACTCCTATGGCTATTTTCTAAAATTATACTATAAAAAACGTCTACGGAGAGTTGTGAACGATGCTTGTCTTTAACGTATCATGGGCCAGATAAAGCCACTATCGAGATACATTACATGCTCCCATCAATAACATCTGAATTAAGACAAACTCATTACCTTAATTGAACCTTGGAATGAAGACTGTAGACATGTTATATCAATCTTTCCAATCGCAATTCAAACAAGATAAGGTTCACACCCAATGTAGGAGAAAGCACGTAGATGGAAAAGATAATAAGACACTCACCAGGAATCAGTTCCACCCTGTTACGATACCACTTTAGCCGCGATGATGGTTTGCTACGCTGAGCACTGCAAGTTAAATTGGCACGTTCCCCTTCCTTTATACGAAGGACTGCATGTCCTGGTCTACCATTAATAGTTAACTCATTCGGAGGAACTACGACAAAAAAAGTGGAAAAGGGAAATACTTTTTTTTTGAAAATTGAGGTAAGAGGAAAAAAAATCTTAATACATCATTCAATTTGATGCTGACCATTATAAATATTAAACTAGCAATTCTAATCTTTATATATATTCATCAATATTTTAAACTCTTTTTACATTAATTATTAATGCTTTGCCTGAAATTTGCAAGGCAATTTAAAACATAGCTTATAGTGTTAGTGTAGATGAATAACAATAAACTTTGGAGTAGGTGGTTTGTTTTAGAAATTTCCCGCGAAGCTACAGTGAGTATATACATATAGTTTCCCTCGTTTTTTAAATGATAGGCTAGATCATTTTATTTAGCTTAGAATTTGCGCACAAGATCTATCTATCGGCGTATAGTCTCTCCTAATGTGAGCTGGTAGACAAGAGAGAAGGTAACACCCACCGCTATCTCTTGGGCTACTCTTGTGTGACCGAATATTGGGACATGACTGTTACTCTTACATCGCAGCAATGAACAAAAAGTGAACCATGAAACTTCAAATACACATTCCAGGTACGTTAACCATTCGGACACGCCCAGCACTAGCATAGATGGACATTTACTTTTCCTATGCTGCTTTTATCTAACAAGTTTATTACATTAACTTTGTTGTTGTTAAACACAAACTTACACAAAGGGCTACATGCGTTGTGTACACCGTTGGTATTAAAACTGGTTTTTAGCGTTACAAGCCAGTAATCGTAAGGCTAAACCATATGGGGCTATCATTAGTGAACTGTTAGATAATCACTATAGTATTTTCAATAGATTAAACAGCTGTTATTGTATTATAAAAGCCTAATTTCTAGGCATCATTATACATTAAGTACACTTAAAATTATAGAAACGCCTTTGTTATATTTTTATTATTATTTAAATTTGACAGTACTAGGTGGCCCGGCATGACCAGGTGGTTAGGGCACTCGTCATGGCAATCTGTGGGTCGCGGGTTCGAATCCCCGTCCCACCAAACATGCTCGCCCTTTCAGCCGTGGGGGCGTTATAATGTGGCGGTCAATCCCACTATTTGTTGGTAAATAGGTAGCCCAAGAGTTGGCGGTGGATGGTGATGACTAGCTACCTTCCCTCTAGTCTTACACTGCTAAATTAGGGACGGCTAGCGCAGATAGCCCTCGTGTAGCATTGCGCGAAATTCAAAAAACAAAACAAACAGTACTAGGTCGAACACTATATAACAAATACTTCCCTATTTTGGAAGGTATTTCAATTTAAAACCAATGCTAGATATAGCCGTTGTTTCATTGTTTTAACTAAAGACCTTTGTAAGGACACACAAGAGAAAACATTGGTCTTACCTAGTACAGTAAGTTGTGCCCCAGCTCTTATCGGCCCTTCATCAGGAGCCGGTCCGACCTGAAATACGAATAGCTAAATACGTATATATATATATATATTAGTCTCTGCGAAAAAGTATTAGTCCGACTTAAAATAAGTCGTATACAATAAAGAATAAATTATGCTTAAAATGATTATTAATTCCCAGCAATACTTGTATATAATAATTACATTTTTAAAATATGTAATATTGTCAAATTATCAAATATGTTAGGTTAATCTCTAAATTGAAACATTGTTCAAATAGCACACACACATACACACACACACACACACACATTTATTATAAAAGTAATTATATTTTTGCCATTAAGTCCAAAGCTTCACAATGGGCACTCTATTCTGTGCCCATTGCGGGTATCGAAAACCGATTTGTTTAGCGTTTTTAGCCCATAGACTTAGAGTTAAGCCAACTGAGGACAAATATAATGAACAATTAAAAACGGTAATATTCGTTTATTTTGTAGAATAAAATGCAACAAAAGTATAATATCTTCACGAATAATATGTTAAAATTATTGTCGTATTTTTTAACTAGTAAATGAATAAATTAAACTTAGTTTAATTTATTAATAAGATATGTTTTGTACTAAATTATTTGTATAATTATCAAACACATTTCAAGTTAAGTGTTTAAATATTACTTCGAAATACGTATACTAGCGAAAGTAAACATATATATATATACTTTGTATGTTTGCCGAGTATTTATTTGACCAAACTCAATTTAGTACTTGATATTTCATGGAGATACAAATAAACAAGTATTATTAAATAGTGTAGCTACCCTTACACAGGCTTTTATTCTCTTATTTTGTTTGTCATGGAAGTTACGTGTATTTAAGTTATTTCTTTTCAGCAGCTATTACCTGACACTGATATTTCCCCTCGTCTTCTATCATAGTGTTCGATATTCTCAGATTATAAATTCCTTCTTTTTTGTCTACCATCATCGAATACCGTCTAAATCCTGGAATTGCTGGATCAAAACCTATAAAAATAGAATTACATTAAGATCATATTACATATAGCTTGAGAAATTACATTCTCAACATTTGACGTATGCTATCCATTTTAAGTTTTTAAGGCCTTCTTAGTTTATACCTGATCAAATTACTTTTTTTTTCGCTAATACATTTTAATAATATTCGAGATGAAAAAGTAAAAGACGTAAATCCCTCAAAAGAAGTAGTAACCAAGCAGGTGGTCTCAATATTAGGATCGATGCTGGTATCCGCCGATGTAATGAGAGTTAACGTGCAGTGTATACTGAAATAGATCGTTCTATTTGTAATGATTTTGAGCATTTTGTGAGGTCTCAAGTGTAAAGTTGCCCTTTATAGTCGAATGTTACGAATCCAATGTAATAGGCCCACTCTATCTGTTTATTTTTTATATTCTTGTTTAACCAATATGTTTTGAAGATATAAGTTGTTACTGATCCGATATGATGTCGTAAGTGTATTTTCTAAACAAATAAATGATTATTTTTGTGTTTTATTTCGCTTAAATGTAATCCTAACACAATACAGCGACAATTTTCAATGTTTATGAATCCATTAATAAAATTACAGTGAAACAATAATTTTAGAGCCAAAATTAAATAGAGCATTAAGAATATGTTATTTTATTTGTATGTTCAAAAATTCTTTTAAAAATTAATTATATATATATATAGGTTTATTATAACTCTAATAGTTCATCGTTTTCATTTATGTGTTAGGATAAATGTATAATATGATATATTAACGTGATTTCAAACTACAAGATGTTATGTTTTGCTACACATAAAATATAACCAAAAATCCAGTTGATTCTATATTTTTCTTTTTGAGAAGTTTACCAAGAGTAATTTTCTTTAAAGTATGAAAGTATTTTGTAACATACATAAATTTATGTGGTCATTTCCAGTGTTTCTCTAGCAACTTCGAATTACAATAAAATTATACATTATCTTAATCCCTATCAATTTTGTCATTTTCTTAAGAAATAATAATTCATTTAATGTAAATTATCACTTAACATATCCTGGTTATATAAACCACCCTTACTTAATAAACCAGCTTCAAACAAGCTTTAGTTTCTCTAGCTAATTAGGAACAAAATACAAAAGCTGGTTAGTTGAAAATATAATTATTATAAAATGTTAGTTAATTTTGAAGAAGTGCACCTTTACTAAATTAGATAGTCCATTGAGATAGTTCGGGTTTGTGCTATTGATAATAATTACATAAATGATTAAAACAAACTATAATAAAGATTTTCATTAATAAAACATTTAAAGACTAGAATACGTTTAACTTTCAGTTAAAGTAACTAAAAGAAAATTTTAAAGACTGAACTGTTTTTTCTACACATCCCAAACACTCTATGAATTAATTGGATAGTGTTATTTATTTGGTTTACATTTAACTCGTGACATCATTTATATTTTATTAATTCGAATGTCTAATAGATGAACTGGTCCATTATGTTTGTAAATAACGAATTAATTTCACAATATATCGATACTTGTGTATTTTTATAACCATATAGAAGTACATCATGGAACTATATATTATGTACATTTTGTACGTTCTCCTAGTTGGAGTTTTTATAAGAATCTGTTATTTTCAAACTACATATAAAATAATCTCTACTTAACTTTTTTCTGATTTAAAACCGTATTTCTTGGGATAAAATGTCTTGAATACACACTCTCCTACAGTAGTAATATTTCTCTTAGACTTTTGAGACATTAAGCTTTCAAAATATTAAATTACTTTAATTCACTTGTGAAAAAGTCTTTGTCTGAGCAGATTCTGCAGGAAATGAAACCACCATTCTCTAGAATGTTGACATAAACCGATTCTCGTATAAAGGAAAAGCATTCAAACTACAATTCCCATTTCTGAAATTTCCTTTCGGAAGTAAGGCATGCTTTTTGTAATCTTACTAGAAGCTTTGTGGAGATTGTGAAGAAGTCGAACTTAATGTCTTAACTATAATTAATCTAAAAATAGACGAAGGCTAGATAAGTAAACTAGCAAACAACTTAGGACTGATCAAAATTGAGAATCTAATAGTTTGGTATTATCCATTACCCTACTAAAGAAAACAGGCCATCCAGTTGTTCATTTAATATTTTTTATACTAGAAAAGTATTAACGTTCTGAATGAGAGGAAAAGTTATACACATACAGGTATATATGTATATAATTAGTCTAATACTTCAGATCGCCTCTCAAATATATAGCCAAAAATTCATCACTATTCACAATGATGTAAAACAAATCAATAAAGGGACAATAGCTCCAAAAAGCTTTGGATATATTACTTTGGATTTTATTTGATAAATATTAAAATTTATAATTTTTTTATGAGTCATACACATAGACCACAGTGGCACAGTGGTATGTCTGTGGTCTTCCACTACTAGAAACCGGGTTTCGATTCCCGTGGTAGGTAGAACACAAATAACATTTCATGTAGCTTTATGCGTAATAACAAACAACTACACACACACATATATATACCATACACTATTTAGTTTCTACAATTTAGGTAAAATAGTTTTATATGACAATAACTGTGAAAACAAATAATAAATTTCTCTTCAGGTAATATTATTTTATTATGTACAACATTATACATTTCATTTGCTTCTGTATTCGTAAGAGGGATCTGAAGAAGTTGGAAACGTGTTGTTTTATTCAAATTTCAAAACTCTGCGATTGCTTGAACAAAAGTGTTGTTGCAATATTGTGCAAAGCTATTAGAGGGCTGTTTGCGCGAGCCGTTCCTAATTTAGATAGACCAGAGGTAATGCAGCTGTTCAACATCACCCACTGCCAATTCGTGGGGGGGCTGTAATCGAATAATGAGATTCGACCATCACTCTTCAACGCACACACAGCCTTAAAGTGGGGAGCACGATTGTATTTTTATTCTTTACGGTAATACGATGCTAGCCACATATTCTCGGATTCACTAAATTACATTTGCTATTACAGTGACACCGGATTTGTTAACGTAAGCTACAATCAAAATTCACTTCTGTCTTATCCTGACTGATAATATTGCAGTGTGCATTAAAAGTCTGTGGTAAAGTCCTCTATGTGAAAGTGTACACATTCATTGCAGCTGTTCATGTTTAATACTTTTTTTTTCAAACGTTCAGTAACTACATAGTTTCTTTAAAACAACATATTTTTAGTTTGAATACAAGAAACTTATTGTCTGGACTCTTGAAAATAATGTTCTCGGTTCTACTTTGAAGGAATAATTTTTTAGCCGTATTTGTATGTTCTGAGATATTTATTGAACGAGTTTGGTTATGCAGGCAGCATAAAAGTCTTAACAGCGATGTTATTTTAGAATTCCACGAATTTTCAAAGAAATATAAGCAGCTCTAGTAAAGGGAGAATTTATATCGAATGTTGTATCCAGTGCAGTACTTTCAAAAGTGCTCATTTTTTGCGAACTGCTAGTTTACATTATAATGCTTCTTGAAACATGTATGTGTCTTGAAAGCATAGATTGTGCTATAAACGATTATGTTTTCCTTTAAGCATTTATTTTTAGACATCACAGTGGAGTTAACATCTACATGTGCATTGGAAACATCACATTTGTCAATGCCATAAACAGATAACATTTCGATTTCAATTTAAATCAAACATGTTCACTTCGAAGATCAAGTATTCTCAACTACAATCAAGTTAAAAAATATGTTCCATAGAATTTATTTGTATAAACTAACACTGGTTCTATTTTCTTTTACTTTAGTTTTCATGACGTTTATAGTAGGACTATTATCGGATATAGTTCCTTTCTCATGTTTGCTGATATATTTGTTTTAGTTTCCCATGATGCGTGTATGTGTCATTAGCTACATAAGTTTTTTTTTGTATTGTTTGGACCAGCATTGCAACATATTTGGTTTCTAGGGAGTTGTATGTTTCTCAACATTAAATATCCAAACTAGTGTATCGTCTCTTGTTTATCAGTAAAGGATCTGACTGGCTTCTTGGGATGAGTTTGTCACTTCGGACACTAACTTTGATTTCTTGTAAGTATGCATAATGAAATCTGATGTGGTTACTTGTGTGTCTCTATAGAAATAGGTTATCCATATTCATGTGAGTTGAGATACAATGCCGATATCAGATCTGATTCACTGCGATGTTAATGTGATATTGTTATAAATGATTTGTGTTTTAATGTTGATAAGTTGCCAAGTTTTTTGTGATACGTATGCAATGATGAAGAATATAAACATGTAAGTGATCAATAGTTATATGTTTATTGTACGTTATAGAAAGATGATGACAATTTTGAGAGAAATCCCCATATGTCCATGGAGCCTCACAGTGACACAGCGGTATGTCTGCTGACTTACAACGCTAGAATCCGGGTTTCTATACCTGTGGTGGTCAGAGCACAGATAGCTCATTGTGTAGCTTTATGCTTGATTAAAAACAAACGACCATGTGTCCACGGATATGTTCAGTTAAATAGCGTTTCGTTTTGCCATGCAAGCACGTTGAGCGATTTCACATTTATGATCCATGAATAACGTGAGGTCGGTATGTTGTCTTTCGAATAGACAAAAAATGTTTTATTTGACATAAAGATTTAATGACAATTCTCAATTTTCATTTTAGTATAATTCTTATGCAGCAGTTTATTGAGTTCATTTATAAGAAGGAAGCACTATTTACCTACGTAAGGAAGGTTTACACGAGGAATTTAGAGATAGTAATGTTTGTTTGTTTTTGAATTTCGCGCAAAGCTACACGACAGCTATCTGCGCTAGCCATCCCTAATTTAGCAGTGTAAGACTAGAGAGAAAGCAGCTAGTCATCACCACCCACCGACAACTCATGGGCTACTTTTTTTACCAACGAATAGTGGGATTGACCGTTACATTATAACGCCCCCACGGCTGAAAGGGCGAGCATGTTTGGTGTTACGGGAATTCGAACCCGCGACCCACAGTTTACGATTCGA